AAAAAAAAACTTTAAAATGTAAAAAGATTAAAAAAAAAAAACAGCTCTTTTAAAAGTGGAACATACACCATGCATGGGCAGGTGAAAAAATGGGAAGAAAGAAAGCCTTTGGAAGAAAGAAAGTCTTTAATTGAGTCTATTAGCTGATTCGAGGAAGGGATTTAAAGAGCCCAAGGGTGTTGCTGCAATCATAGATTTGCATTTCACACTACCTAGCTGGTTCTTCTTTGCTCTCTCCATTAATCCCGATAATTGCCCAATTCAGTCTTCTCAAGACAGTTTCTAACTTTTGAATAAGTTTAGCAGATTTGCTTAGTCCTGGAAATTAGTTTATTCAAGGAAAAAACTAATTCAAGTATCAACTAACTTCTGTAATAGCAAAGAACTACAAGAGAAAAAGGAAAGAATACAGGAAAGATGACAAGGAAATGGCTCACATATATCTGCGAGCATCTGTGCTTGCATCAGCATACTAAGCCAATTTCCAGTGCCTTAATAATATGCCCATTTCATGTCAACAAATCTTATGGCTCGACTGGTGACATTTTCATTGCATTTGCAGGTGAGGAAAAATAATTTAGTAGTATTGAGACCCATTCTATACAGGTAACCAGCTCAAACTTCAGTTGTCAAATGAAATTAAAAGGAAAGACCCAACATATGGTTTCCAATCCATAAAATCAACCAACTGATCATGTCATGTACAATGCCATGAAACAGCCCTTTTCAGTAAATGCAAGTGAAATTTTGCCAAATATTCAACGGTAAAAATAGTTGAGTAAAAAGTCTCTTCCATGAAAGAGGCTAGCTACCTGCATGCTATTGTAAGAGCTAAGAAGCTGATTAGGTCTGGGCACACTCAAATGGATGCAAGGATCCTTCAGAAAATTCATGCATCCGAAACCGCTCCAAAAGTTCAAAGGGCCTGCAAATAACATTACTCATCTTGCAGATAACTTTAATAAGGAAAATTTGATGCAAGAAGCATTACTATAAGAAACGAGAACCAAACACATGTTTTTCAAACAAAAAGCAACATTCAAAAAGACTGAACATACCTAATTAGTAAGTCCCAAACTATGTCTAAATTGAAAACAAACAACTTAAATTTCCACTTTCCTATGGCCTTTTCTTCTGAGAACAACTTTTGGACATTTGAGTATGAAAACATTCGAAAAGAATTTTTCTAGAGTTTATAGAACTCTATAATTGTATTCTACATGCGCACAAGAAAGTCTTGCATCCCAATACACAAAGAGCATCGACTACCAGACAGATCAACCAGAACAAGACGAGAGACAGAAACAGGGGAAGGAAAGGGAAAAGAAAGTTGGCAAATCCACAATTAATCTTATCTGATGCATGTTCCCATTTAAAAACATAAAGAAATACTATTCACAATCCTTACAGGATAGCTTCACGATTACGACATAATTTGTGTTGATTACTTTCCATGACCTCTAACATGTTAGCGGTTTCTGGCCCTGCTGACCCACCGGCAACCATTGACGGAACAGCAGCAGTTGGAGTCCATAGCTACACCATGCACCAACTAAAAATAAGAAAACTAATCTTGATTATCGTAAATAATTGAACTCTTCCCATAATACTGACCTTTATTGTGCTATCAATCCCACTGGTTACCACAAAGCAATCAAATGGATGGCACTGCACACAGTTTACAACTGTGGAGAACAAAAAGAGTTATTTTCCAGTGAATAATAAACCATAGGATGATGGTAAAGCCCACAATCTGTGGGGCAGGTTGGAGAGGAGAGAGGAATATTACCAGCATCATCTCCAAGAAGCATTTTTATCAATCTACCAGTCTGCTTTTCCCAAATAAACCACCTCCCATCATCACTCCCACTAGCAACATATTCTCCTAAAAATCAAACAGAGGATGTCATGATAACAGTTTCACTGCTAAAATTGCATGCAGACCCAGTTCCACTACTCATGAGTAACAGTTTTTCCCAATCAGAACTGATTTCATTAACTCATAATGTTCAATGAACAATGAATTAACAACAGCACAATCAACAAGAAATGTGACTAAGATGAAAAAGAAAACATCTTTCCTGGGGATATATGGACACTTCATCTTGAAGCCCCTTTGTGTTGGGCACCAGACATTGCATGTTGCCAAAGGAAAGACCATATTTACACGCGGCAGCCATTAGACCACCAATGAAAAGACTAGAAAGCAATTGACATGTTGCTTGACAACAAACTTATTTGTTACAGATCAAATGTCCAACAAGCAACAAATGTTGTGATCCAATAGAAGACTTCTAGAGTTCATCCAGATTCAATATGCATCAAAATGACACCAGATTCCTTCAAGACATATGTGGACTGCATTAGGAGTATCATTGCAGAAAAAGCAATTTATTTAATTTTAATAATCTTTTTTTTTTTATGCATCCAAATATTTGGCTCAATGGTTAGTGCATGATCCCCTTGTTCAAAGAGCCAGATTCAAATCCCCCCTTCCTCCCAAATGAAAAAAATGTAATTATGCACTATTTCATGCTTAGTCCAGTTTGCTTATGTTATTTGAGAATCATCATTTTAGTTCTACAGTTGAGCTCTGACATTCTTTCGACAGCCGAAAAGTAGTTGACTGATTTTCTTTCTTTCTTTGCTTTAATGATATACATAGAAGAGAGTTATGGCATTCTCTGGTTGATTAATTACTATTAAAATGGCACCTGAGCATTTTTTTTTTAATTTGGGGGACGCAGGGTTTGAATCTAACTCTTTGTGCACAAGTAGATGCACCAAACAGTGAGCCAAATGCTCAAGTGCTATTTTAATAGTAATTAATCAACTAGAGAATGCCATAACTCTCTTCTATGTATATCATCAAAAGAAAGAATTAAAATCATTCACAACTCTTTGGCTCTCAAAAGAAGGTTAGAGCTCAACTGTAGACATAAAATGATGATCCTCAAATGACATAAACAAACTTGACTAAGGGTGAAATGGTGCATAACAAATAAACAAAATGTGAGTATCTGAATGTAAAAAAGAAAGAAACAAAAATGGCGATACTGATAAATAGGAACAAATTCAACACCATAAAGCAAATGCGAAAAAGTTCATAGACGATAATAATAATAATAATAATAATAATAAAGCAATACAATTTTGATGCAGCTTAAAATATAGATAAGATCATATAAGAAAAGTACCTCTCTGACCAAGGAAACTGGCCTGTTTGATGTCAGTTCCAACATTACAGTGTCCAACATATCTCTGCTTCATATCAATAACTGCCTCGGCCTAAAAAAATATGAATGCATGGCATGAAAATCAAAAGCAAGACAATTAAAAAAAAGTATGTCTCAAGCAATATGGTGAATCTGTTGTTGCACATACATAACAACCAAACTGGTCAATTTGGAAGTAAACATGCAACTAAGTAAACAAAACTCTTTTCCATGCTATCTTTTTATAGGCCAGCCTTTTTTACAGTTTGGCATCTAATCAAATCATCAATATGCATCACAAGTTGAAGAAATAAGCAAGTAACTAATCTGCCCAGGAGATAACAACCAAAGGCTAGCAACATCACCAATGACACATTTAGATTTAGCCATGCCTTGATAATTAAAACTTGACTAGAGTCAGTCTCCAGTTGATTCTTGATTATGACATAACATGCTTATCAGAATCATAAAACATTTGCACACTACATCAAAGATAAGGATGTGAACCTGATAAGCTGCTCTATCATTTTGCGATGACGAGGATGGAGAGCCACATGAACCATTCGCACCAGTTTCCCTTGTTGAATCACCTCTTCGATGAATTCTAAGATTTAAACTTCCATGTAGTACGTTAGATTCAACATCACGTCCTTCATCACCTGATATTGAAGTTTCAAAATCTAATTCCAGCTCCTCGTCATAATCAGAATCTTCTCTGTCAGATCTTGGACCATCTTGGGAAGCATCACTATTAGCTTCAGAGCGATAGAGTATGTCACTCAGTGACAATACCCTTCCAGTTCGAGGTTCAGACCTAGATGCCCCATCACTCGCCTTGTTATTTCTTTCAGCCTCAGCTAGTTACACCAAAAAAAAAAAATCAGTAAAACTAGAGTTATAACCAATCCTAGAGATATTAACCAATCCTAAACCCATCCCCAAGGGAGGAATAGGGAGGGGATGAAAATAAAGAGAGAGACAGATAGATTTCACCCTTATATGAGTAATTACTAAAATTCGTTCCAGAACCTAATAGCAGAAGGATTAGCAACAACCTTAGTGACTCCATGTTATCAACTTAACAAATGAACCTAAGCATCCTACAAGTACACTTGAATCTTGATTGCTCCCAGGCCTAATAGCAATCTAGAGTTAATCCAAGAACAAAGGAAAGGCTTGGACAAGAGGCCAAAGGATAACATCAGTACTTCCAGTATAAGAAGATGGCATCTACCACCCCAGTGAACTGAACAGAAAAGAAAAGTTAGACTAGTACTAATGTCAACTCTGAACCCAAGAAATCAATACTCAAACCCAACACTGCCTTTCAATCAAATGTAAGATGAATAGCCCAAGATAGAATTGCCTTACACACGTGAATATAGGAAGGTTAATTAACTCTGAAGTTAAGTAATAAGACACTTCATTGGGACAATGATGTGCATGCACAACACAAACCTGCAGCAAGATCTTTTCTTATGTTCTCCACTTTCTCGGCAGCCTTAGTTTCAGATGGAGATAAACATTGTGCTGCAACAGCAAAGTCCATAGCTTCTTTATGTTTGCCCAACTGCAAAGAATTAGAAACCAAATGACAAAAAAAGGAAAGCTTAGTTTTACCAACTTTACATGAAGAAACAACCATGCCATTCTCTCAGATGGTTGCCGTTTGAGCTTCAATAGACCAATTTTTTCTTAAGCAAAAAGAAAAAGAAATGAAGAGTAAAAGGAAGTTCAAAACATAAGATATTCTGAATTACAACAGCACAATTCATCCTAAAAATTCTTAAGGCCAATATTCATCTAGAGAGCAAAATCTACACAAACAACACCCAATCAACATATTAAAATAGAACTCACCACTTAGAATTCAAATTAAGATTGGCTACCGTGCAGAAAGTGAAAACTTCGCCATAATACAGGCTTTACTCTATAAACCAACTTCTCAGAACATACATAATGCCTATTGAAACAACATATTGTTGTTGATATTTTTAATTTTCATATGAAAAGAGTTCCAAAGCTTAAATTTGGTTGAAAATTTGTAAATAATGCAATTAGAAACATAGTTTCAGTTGCATGTTCTGTTATTTAACAACAAAAGCTACCTGTAAATGTAAAGATTTTGAAATGATAAAAGATGTTGTGGGCCAGCAACCCAAAGCCAGTAATCCACTAACTGAGATTCAAGCTCAACAATTTAAAATGCTCTTGGCAACCCAAAGCACTAAGGAAGACAATTGATCAGGTAGACCAACGTCTTTATAAACTTCAGTGTAACTTGCAGTGCAGATTACCTGTTCTAAAGCCTCAGCCATATAATAATGAGCTCTAAAGGAAGAACTGTCTATTCTTCGAGCATTATGGCAATCTCTAATGGCCATATGGGCATCATTTTTCCACTTTCTCTGCAAAAGGGAACAAGTTAATATGTGGGCATAATTGCATACCAAATAGATGAAATGGTCCATAAATGTTTATCCAGACAAAGTTATCAATGAACCTTCAGCAACAAGGCAGCACGTGTACAAAAACATTCATGCCTTAGCACAGGCCCAATATCACTACCATGTCCATCCAAGATTTCATTGCATGCCTCAATTGCATGGAAAATATTCGTCCCATATTCTAAGGATTTTCTAGCAATTTCAACCAACTTCCTGCATTTTTCAATCTGTAACTGCCATGTTAGTTATAGCTGAAATACATATGGGAGAACAACATAAGTCATATAACAATCTACCGAAACTTTCAGACAAATTTACAAAACAACAACAAAAAAAGGGAAAATAGAAGTGTAAATAAAAGATGCACACCTTTGCAGCAGTGTTGCTTCTTCTAGGGAGACCATTTTGGAAGACACTGGAGACAGGTGGTTGGCGCTCTACTCCATTTAGTGCAGAAGTGAAAGTCATCAATTTTGCAGCATCTCCCGAAGAATATTTCACTAAACTCCCACTAGCTGCTAATTATGGAAACAACAAACAGATGTTCAGCTAAAGAACACTTCACCATTTCAAATATTGATTACACATTGTATTCCACTAACTGCAAATAAAGGAAACAACTAAAAGATTCAGAGTGAAAGATCATTTCACTAAATCTAATAATGCAAAAAACTATCATACAACCAGATCGGATTTATGTGTAACCTTTATTTTGTAATCTAAATAGCACTTCTTCATGAAAATGAAACCTAAAACAACCAGGGAAGAAAGGGAGGCAAGAGCAACCCTAAGCCTAAGTTACATTTTAAGATGCCACATATAACTTTACACGTTAATTCCATGAATATATAGGTTCAGACACATCAGCTCTATGCAGCAAGACCCCTAAATAGAACAAATCAAAAGCATCATTCATTCCTCTTCCAAATTTCTAGTCACACTTCCATCAAGCCACCACTAGCTTCACTTCTTTTCACAAAACTGAAACTTAAACACGGAAAGACAATTGAAAACTACATCATATCAAGTCAGGCAACATGAAGCTTCTTTAAAGAGGAAAAAACAAAAAACTAAAAAAGCTGAGCACAAATGCATTGAACCATCTGACTTCATTAGCAGCAGAGAATTTTGAATACGCTTACCATGATTTACGTCCATTAGATATACATGTTCCCCACCATAGCTAAGTAGAACCTCTTCTCCATTAGGGCTAAACGTAACATGAGTTAAGTGCAAACTTGATCGACCCTGAAAAGCAAAGAAAACAAAAATTGAATTAATACGACAATAGTTTTAGTTAAAACCCAGCAGTGTTTTTGTTTAAAGTTAACATATAATGACACCTTAAAGCGAGAAAGTGGTGCTACTAATAGGAATGCCAATTGACAACAATCGGAAGTTTCAGATTAAATGATTCTTATTAACACAGCTAACCTAAAATATCAAACAAAACTTTTTTCCATGTGCAGAATAAAGGAGAAAAGATTCCAATAAGAGGAAACTGGCAAATAGTGACCTAATGAAGCCAAGAAAAGCTCACTAATTTACCAAAAATAAAAGACAGAAGGAAAGTAAAGAAAAGAAACAGAGAATTATTATCATTTGTGAAGTTATTGTTACATCATTACAGACAATTTTTTCATATACCCAAACATCATTTATTGGTCCTAATGAGTATAAATTTTACCAAGATATTACCAGAAAGGAAGTAACAAGAGTAAGAACTAACAAAGAAGTTCAAAACTAACACGGTCAGAAAGATGCATTGGGCAGAAAAAATTAACACAAGTAGGTGGTGGCATTCTTTTCTGGCATGAGGTGGGTGGTGACAGCATCCTTCGATCATACAGACGAGCAAATGCATCACTGCAAACATTCAAAGACAAGATTAGTTGAGAAAATAAAGCAAAAAGTTTGAGACACAGCATTTCAGCCACATACTTCCCACCAACAAGGAGCAAATGAGGTCTAGTAGAACTGATATCACAAGATTTTAAGGCAAGAGTATGTCTAGGAGGATCAGCTAGTGACCTCTTGGCCCCACAACGCAAGTCAAGCTGCCAAAAGAGAAAAAGGAAAATTCTTAAAATAATTTACAATTTGAGGGGATACAGTCAAATACAGAGGAACTAAGATAAAGGGAAATTTAAGTTGAGCTGACTCATTATGGCAATCCTACAAAGCTGAACATAAGAATTTCAACTGAAGACAAACATTTGCAAATAAAACTGAAAATTTTCAACACAAACCAAAGCTACACCTAAAACTAAACGACTTTGAGATGAAAATCCATTGACCAAAGAATCAGGGATATCATTCTGTGTACTGCAAAGTCCTCTCACGCTGTCTAAAGTCATGGTGAATCTTGATGAGCTATCTCATCAAGACCAGATCTACAAAATAATAACATCTTTCCATTCAGGGACAAAAGCATCCAAGATTCTGTAGGTTTTCAGACACTCAAAAAGGTTAATTTAATTGTTTGTAAGTTCTCAATCCCAACAAGAAGAAAACGAATTTAGATCAACCAAGTATGTTACTTGGCAAGAAATCAGGAGAGGAACAGATATAATGTTCCACATCAAAGGAAAGACTTCAGTGCTGCATGGAATCTACATAGAAGGAAACCAGAGTCATATAACAACCACAGCAACAATTATACCCAGGTGAAGACAAGAAGTCAAAACTTGTCAAACTTTTGACAAGCATTTCAGAGACACCAAAATATTTGGAATCAACATGCTGCACTGAATAGGTACTACTAAACTTCAACAAACAAAATTCTAATAGGTGTCTCTAGAACATAGAAATGAATGAAGGAAAACCCATATTATATAATGTGAGTCTCACTAGAACATTGCGACACTCTTGGTGAGAAGATCCCGCTGGAGGACAAGAAGTGCCCTCTCGAAAGTCATGCTGTCTCAGAGTTCCATCTTCACTTGCACTCCAGACCACATTGGGGTTTCCAACTTCAACCTGAAACAGGAAACAAGTAGAAACTATGACAGGTGAAGCAACCAGGTGAACATTCATGTTCAACATGTAAAGCAACATAATGTGATGAAAATCTTACCGCCAGTTTTTTAACTCTTCTTGTGTGACACTGATAGAGCGCCGATGGAGTAATAGTACCGTCATTGAGCCATCTCCCACTTAAGCGAGACAAATTAAATAACCGAACCTACAAAAATATTAGCTAAGTTACTAATGAACCTAATCGCAATGCAACAAGAATCCACTATAGAAACCTTGTTTAACCATAGTCCGAAAATTTACCTCTGCATCACCAGCTCCGGAGACCACAAGCTCATCAGAAGTTTCAGGAATAAACTTTGTACAGAATATATTTGCAGAATGCCCTGTCTCTATAGAGTGCAAAAGCTTTCGACCAGAGTAGCTCCAAATATTGATCTGCAAAAATTAATTTGCCAATAAATTTGACATCCACAAGGGGCATCGCATATTTTCATAAAGCCAATACGCCACAAACACCATTGTTCAATAATTTGACATCCACAATGAGCATCGCATATTTTCATAAAACCAATACACCTCAAACATCATTGTTCAATAAATCTGACATCTAAAATGAGCACCGCAAACTTTCATAAACCCAATAACCCTTAAACACCGTTCTTCACACACCTTTATCAACTAATGGCAGGTGTTAACAAGTTTAGCTGACTAGAGGCCCCTAAACCAATACTTTATTCCTCTTTCAGATAATCAAATCCATATTCCATACTACAAAGAAGAAAATCGTGAAAATCACTCTTCAGATAATATATAAAGAACTTATAAGTATCAAAACACAAAAAATAGCACCACCATAATCGTGATTCAGAAGGATTGGTACAAGATGTTAGACTTCACAAACACTTTCCAAATGAGTACGTAAATATCCTACAATGTCTAATGACTAGGCAGACTTTATAACCAATCAACTCCTTATAAATAAAAAAAAAAGTCCCTACAACAAAATCATCATAATGCAGAATTGGCAGGAATAGGTCAGCTAAAATACAAAAATCATCATTATTACATTTTCGCCAATTTAATGCTACCTGTTACACTGCACTGAAGTCTACATGGTAAATGAAGATAGATGTCTCATACCCGTGCATCATCAGATCCAGAAATCAAAAGTGAACCATTTGAATTCCAAGCCACAGCATTTACACAACCCTGATGCCCCTGTTCAGATAATGAACATGTAAGTTGATTTTAGAATGACGCAAGACAAAGAACTATTGAAGTACAATAATAGATCACCCTGTTCAAACCTTCAAAGCATCCCGAAATAAATAGTGCCTAATACAAAAGGCAACTGGAAAATGGAACAGCATTAAATATAGCAAAGTAAACAACACATAACTTGTAATGTAATCTAGGAAGGCACAATAAGTAGAAGTTCAAACAACTGACTGCCCTAAAATGCCATTACTATGATAGTCTGTGATACATCACAAGATAAACAACATGCATTATTTTTAAAATTTGAATGTGCAAAGAGTGCGTAAAAACAAAGGCTATGATATATAATGCAAAGGGTGCATGTTAGTAATGACAGCTTTCAAATGCAAATATTAGATAATTTAAAAAATTGAAACAACCTCCAATTCTCGTTCCAGTGAAAGCCTCTGTATCAAAGACGAATGCATTTGCAAACTGTGATCAACATCCTACGCAAACACCCCAAAAAAAATCTCTTAGATAGAACAGCCACTATCGTAAGTGAACCAAACAAAAGCGCACGATTATAGTCTAAACTGAACCAAACAAAACAAATAATACAATAATAATTGATAACTAGAAACTGATAAATATTTAACATTGTTAAACTTAAATTATCAGCAAGATTCCGGGAAAATAAAAAGAAAGAAACAAATAACAATTAGCCTCATAATTACAAACCAGAACAACAAAATTTCAACCAAAAAAAAAAGCGTGCAATATCAAAGAAACTGGAAATTGAAATAAACTAAATGAATTGCTTTGAAGAAAGAGAGAGCAGAGCAGAGCGAGAAAATACGTGGCGAATGTCGATGTGCCTGCTCTTGAGTAGATTGTGTGCGTTGCCGTCGTGGAACGGCCACTCCTCCATCGAGTATTATTTTTAAAAAATGGAAAGATATTCCAAAACCCTAGCTCCGATCGCCAGTGACGGTTGTAATCGGCGATGATCAAAGCGTTCTCTCAAATGCTGAAAACAATCTCTTAGCGTTTTTAGAAGCTCGCACGGTTTTGTTTGGGTTCGCCAATGGAAAAAACTTTTTCTACTTAGTATGCCAAGGCTTTTGAGACACGAATGCAAATGATGAACCTAGTTGCCCCGTGTGCGTTCCTAATATTTCTACACTTCACCGAAAAAATTAATAAAAAGAGCATGAGAGGTTTTTGTTTAGTGAAAGGAGGAGTAGGTTAAGATTGTTGCGTGAGATTTAAGCACCGCTGATTTAGGGTTTGCCGGTTGATGGAAGGGGAGTTGCTTAAGTGGAATCGTTGAATGCTGATGTGGCGTGGCGGCTTTCGTATTGGAATTGGGCCTAACCCCAAAACTAAAACAAGCCCCACTGTGGCCCTAGCCCAATTGCTCCGCTTTTACTAAGATTTAAAAAAATACATTTAAATAAATAGTAGATAAAAAACTACCCCAATTTTTTTCTTTAAAATAAATTCCAATCTTGATTCAATATTGAGATAAATCATTTAAACTTATAACTTTTTTAATTGTTATTTATTTAAATTTTAATTAAAATAGTTATCAAAATTAAAATGATGAGAAAAAGTTAATTTTGACAAGTACAACTGTCACTACTCGAGTACTAGTCCAGACAAGTCAAACAACTCAATAAACAACAATTCAAGCAGATAAGCAGCCCAACAAACAAATAGCAACTCAACCAAGGTAGACAATAAGCCCAACTCACATAGTGTAATCTGTTGGAATTCTTGAATTTGATTATATATATTAAAATTAAAATTATATCTGAATATTATCTATCCAAATTAAATTACGTTATATTATCTTTTATATTGTAAATTCTATTTATACAAGAAGACTATCAGCTTATAAATACATCTCCCCCTTTTCTTTCTTTTCTCTTTCTTTTACTATATTGTGAATTTTAAACTTTATTTTAAAATTTAAAACCATGCAAGGATAGACTTGAGTTGACTTTAAGTTCCACAGGTCACATAAACTCCATATGATGCTAGCTGTTTACATGTTGAAAAATGGCTAGCAGCCCTAACAGTAAAAGTCCAATCTGTAGAGCCCAAGATCTTCTGCTTTTACCTCTTGACATTTTAAGCTTTGAATTATGAGGTTCAATAGCTTTTGATTTTTTGAAAAATTAAGGATTTCTGTTGATAAAAATTTGACTAAGAGCATTAGAAGTCATATAAGAGGCCAACTCTTTTTAGGTGGAATTCCAGTTTCATGCACATAGCATCTTTACTTTCAAGTTATAGACCCTTTTTTTTTCCTCATAATCTAAAAAAAAGAAAAAATTACAAATCCTCTGTTTTCTCATTGATTCATTGCTTCTGTGAAGAGTGTTTTTATTGTTACATCTATAAAAAAAAAATACAAAGCAATAGTTTTAAGGAAAATAGGATCTATGGAAAAAGCATTGAACAATTCTACAAAGACATGATGAGGAATATATTCGTTCTATTGCCCCCTCTCCCATGCCTCCAACAGCAATGGATCACGCTTTAATATCCAAATAGCTGCCCTTCTTCCACGCTATCATTCTACCTACCGAGAAACATGATATTTTTGTTTACATTCATTTGTTTTTCACCTTCCAACCTCGCCTCTATCGGTTGCATGGTATCAGCGTTGTGTTTACAACATGATGCTCATGGTTTGATGACATAACCCTAACGTGATGACTGATGCGATCAATGAAAAGGGGGTTGAGAGCAGTCCAAGAAGAATTAGATTAAAGGGCAAATCAGAGCAGGCATTTTAGTCCTGTTTCCAGTTTTCCTGTAGCTATGACAAAAGGGGGAGGTAGCAGGACCATGCCACTTCTATCGGTTGCATGGTATCACCGTTGTGTTTACAACATGATGCTCATGGTTTGATGACATAACCCTAACGTGATGACTGATGAGATCAATGAAAAGGGTGTTGAGAGCAGTCCAAGAAGAATTAGATTAGAGGGCAAATCAGAGCAGGCATTTTGGTCCTGTTTCCAGTTTTCCTGTAGCTATGACAAAAGGGGGAAGTGGCAGGACCATGCCACTTCTTCCCTCGGCTAAATAATGCAACTTGAGTGGTCCCATCACCGAAACCATCATCTCCATAGAGATGGAAAAGTTTGCACCATTTAAGAGGGAGGTGGGGGAAGGAGGCTACGACCACCAGCTAAGACATCGCTGTCTCATATATAAAAGCGTGCATGCGACGTCGATACATAGGCATAAAGACAAGGATAATACCAAGCAATTATAGACTTACACCCACCCATGACCGATAACATCACTTGCAAATCCACCAGGGCACTCACTACAATCACGAGTTTAACAAGGAAAAACACCATACATAACCCCATGATGGCAGCATACAAAACACATAAAAAGTTGTCTTTCCACAATCAAATTAAAAGTATCACGAAAAGGGGGGAAAAGAAATAAACTACTACACATCATACCGAACAAAAGGAAAACATTTGCATAACCATCGTTGCACTCACACGCAAATACAAAACACAAGGCCAATGGGAGATGAGAGAGATGGTGATCTGGGGCCCCTTCCGGCAAGTTGTTGCATGATGAAATTGGAGAAGGCTCTTTGCTCGTGCAATTTTCTACATCAAAGAAAGCGAACCCACAAGGATAAAACTTGACAAGAATACAAAAGGGAGAGGAAAGTGAAGATTGGGACCCAAACACCAAGGGGCGTGCACTTAATCCCTTTATGAGGGTACCCTCTCCCACAACCAGTCTTCTCATTCACACATCCAAAGCCTCATGCCCAGATGCGAGTGTTACTTTCTCTAAACCCCAAAACGTAGACTAATGATTCACCTTTCCTTTATTGGGACATTAATATACTGCAGTATCCTGCTTTCTCTAGAAAAATAGAGAGATCTCAAGCCAAAGCTACTGGTTTCCAACTCAAATCATTGGAGAAAGACTTAATCAAAGGAGGAAGGGTTCAAGTTCTCTCTCCACTATCTTCTGATTTCAGCTCCTTCGCTGCAAGACTCCAAATTATATGCAACTCCATGCACAACTGTACATACCTCGCTTATTTGACAAGCTCCATTAATTAACAATGTCTAATGCACAATGACTAATTATGACAGATGCTACCACTAACACTACTAATAAGAACTGTGGCAACTCAGAGAGTACTAAGTCCAAATGCTTTGGCTTTGAGTTTCAGGGATTTCAGGTAATCAATAGCTTCATCAAGTACCGCAATTGCATCTTTGCCCTCTCCACCAGGAATTATGCTTCGCAAAACACTCACCGTCTCACGAATTTTCTCCTTTCTCATTCTCTTGTTGCCTGAAGATAAATCCATATCGCCAAATCCCAGATTTTGGCCAAAAGCACAGCCAGAATCTGCATCATCCTCATACTCAGAACATCTGTTTGGATTGATTGAACTAGCAATATCCACAAGCAACGGCACATAATCATTACCCCCGTCAATCAATTTCCGCTTTTTAGTAGGTCCAGTAGAACTAGCAACCTCTTCAGTGCCTCCCTCAAATTGCTCATCGTGAGCTGTCATAGTACTAGGAGAATGACCAGTGCTCGTTACTTCTTCATCCTCAGTATAATCACTATCATCATCCGAGTAAAGCAAGGCATTGAGTTCTTCAGTGTCCTCATGCATTTCACTTTGCACATCAGTCCCCTTGTCATCAAATAAATCTGTCGATATTGGTCCAGACTGAAGATTCAGGTTTGCTTTAGATATGGGATCTTCCCCCTTAAAGTTACAAGCACCAGGAGATTTTGGACCCCAAGATGTCAGGCACTTGATAGGAGTCCCAAAAGCAGAACTAAAGATCATGGTAGTTTGATCACCAGATTGATCAAAAACAAGGAATCTCTTCTGAGCACACCCAGCTCCTGCCTTTGGGATAATGTTCTCCCTATGATGTTCATAAGGGTTCGCTGGGAGTTGCTCTTTCAATTGAGTGTTTGATGCAGGTGCAAACACCTGGTGAAAGTGGGGTAAACAGTAAAACCAGCCACGAGGTTCATTAACTTGGCCAACCCGCAAGTGAGATAATCCAGGATTTGCATTAACTGGCAAAGCCCCAGTGGTGGCGACCATATTAGTGCCAGGGTTTATGAATTGAGGATTAGTATTTTGCTGCACCAGAGGATGTGGAGCAGCCAAAGAATTGAAGTTGGGTGATTGCCAATCAAATTGCTGCTGAGGAAACCAGGATCCACAGCCTTCTCCCATCCAACCAGAACAATCACCTACAGAGATAACAGAGTCAACATGACAAGGATATTCTAAAGAATAAAAAGATATTCTTAAAACCAAGTACTATCAATACATACCAGAAGTCGAGTGCTGTAGCAGTAGAAATAGCAGTTTACTTGTAGTTTCTCTCAAAAACAAGGAAAAAAACTAAAAACTCCAGCTTAACTTGAACGCGGAAATGCAAAACTAATCTACGTAACGGGCTTAAGCAAATGACGGAAATATTCAGCCTGAAAAACACCCGAGAAAGGAAATTCAGTAAAGACATTGAATAAACTTTCTCAACAATCATCAATAACAAAAGAAAAGAACAAGGAATCTCATAAATTAAAAAGAAAAAGGGAAACGTAAACCAATGAAATACAAACATCACCAAATATAAGGGTATCTAATTCCTCAACAGAGAATATCAAAAAAAGGCAGAAAGAAACAAAGAAAAAACAAACCTGGCAATCCTGAAGAGGTTGAAAGCATGCTATAACTCTAACTACAATGGTGGCACTCCCTGCAATACCATTTTCGTACTTCAATGCCCGGAATCTTGTTTGGCTCGCTGCTTGGCACACCATAACTACGTCCCAACCCTTCAATATGGCAGAAAAAAGAGGATCTTCCAGACGGCACCGTATTCGAAACCAGTAATCCGTAATCCAAAGCAATAAAACTGAACAACAACAACTACTACTACAAAAAACTTGGCCTACCAAATTGAGATGATAACCCTTGGATTAGAAATTTGAGAGACGTTTTGACAGTTTTCAGCTAATCTGGCGGACATAACATGGAACGACAATGAAAAAAGTGGATCCCATGGAAGATGGAATAGTAAGACTACCGAGTTAAAAAAGGAGGGATCTTGATGATCTAGAATATGGAATTACAGAATCACTCTACAATACAAGTTCAAGGAGATAACTTTTCGAAACACATCAACAGATAGTGTCAACCACCACCGCATGCTGTTTCTTTTTCACTGCAACTAGCCACGATTCACTTTTTCTTGTAACTCTCCCAACACAACCTACGCAGGAACCCTACAACAGATTCATTATATAAACATCAGATACATAATCTCTCAACTAAAATCATATTAATATAATGCAAAACCAAAAGTAAGAAGAAGATTTGACATTTTAGCCCATTAGGAACTTAAGGAGCTAGTGAACAGTTACAGTAAGAGATTTTTTTTTTATTTACAGGACTGATGAGATCAAGATAGGAAATTTAAAACCCTATAGCATTAGATCTATTTTGAGTTTCCTGTGGGTTTCTTTTTCTTGGGTTTTCTTCAAATTTCCCAGTAGCAAAAGTCGCATATTACATCAAATCTAATAAGAGAAAATTACAAGTAAACAAGCCAGCCAAAGCTATCAAAAATATAAACTTTAACTCCAGGAAAAGAGGAAGTAGCAGTCAAAATAAATGAGAGAAACAAAGATATAAAAATCCCAGCAAAAAAAAATTCTTACAAAAATCAAGAAATCTAAACAGATTAAAGCAAATGACTTTGGAAATGACAAGCATCAAAGAAACTGACAACTTACAGAAAAGAATAAAGGAGAAGAAACCCAAATTCCAAATCAAGAAAGAAAAACCCAACCCAACTTCTAAATTGCTCCAATCCTTAAGCTCCAAAGAGAGAAAGAGAGATTCTGAAAGGACTCTTTTTTTTTCAGAGAGAGAGAAAAATAAAGCTCACAGTCAAAGGGTCGAAATTTATGGAATGCACGGAAGCTAAGATTAATGCTAGTAAGACTATATAGAAAATATATTGACGAAATTGTCCTTGACACATCCAAGAAAAAAAAAGTTAATAAAAATTTTGAAAAAAGGTGATTAAGCTTTGATACGTGCGTGCGTGAGGAGTGCACGCAAGGTATTAGTGAACAATGATGGAGCACAGTTTGAGTCCGTGTGGTGGGTGTTGGTGTTGGGGCCCCGGCGGGTGGTTTTATCATTAGCCCTTCTCGGGTTCGGGTTTAGGGTTTTTTTTACTCTCCTGAGTCCAATTTATTCCAACCCGAACCACCCGCCCTTTTCTACTATGTAGGATGCAACGCAAATGCAACATATATCATCATGCTAATCATGCTTATACTTTTTGCATTTCCTCAAATGTCCCTTCTGCTTTGCCCCAATGACGCAACCATTCTTTCTTCAAATTTGGAAAAAAATAAAATAAAAACTCTTCTAAATAAAAAAACAGGTAATTTTTAATAAATGTTGTCATATATGATCATTATTATCCATGTAGTAGATTATTAATGAAATTTAAATATAACAATGATTTTATACTAGATTATAAATTATTATGACTTTCATAAGATAATTTGATTTGGTTGATGATGTGAATAAATGAGTCCTAAGCTAAATTTGGTAATGTTAATGTCAAATATTGGCATGGTCCACTTAAACATTGGAAAGGATATTGATTTAACCATGTGAATACAATGAATATTTGAATTAAGACTATATTTTCATGATCTATATGATTTGATTTACATATTTTCAATCACACATATTACATTATTAAAAATGTAATTGTCTAATTTGTATTTAGTAAGAGATCTAGATATATTAGTGAGACTATAGCTTATGGTATTATTGTTGTTGTTTTTTTCTTTATAACAACAATCAAAAATAAATAAATTATCTTTAAAATAGCAAAAAAAAACTCAATTTCGTTAATTTAAAATTTATTCATCTAAAATGAATTGAAATAGACAATAATGAAGATAAAGATGAAAACACGACATCATTGGGAGGCAAATTAAACCTAATTTAGCTCATGGTGAATCACAAAATGTGTTCCGAAAAAAGAAAACTCGTGCAAATCACTAAAAATTGAGTGCAGTCCCACAAAGTGGAAAGGTGGAACAACATGAATTGAAAATGCCTTTTTAAGCATGTTCAAAGCTTAGGGGGAGATGCAAAGAGGGAAGATGAGGCAAAAAAAAAAAAAAACTAACCTTTGCAAAAAGGAAAAGGAAAAAAAAGAAATTAAGATTGCAGTGAGTATATAAACTATATAAAAGAGATGGCATCCTATGTTTAACATGAACACCAATAATTTGAAGCTTGACCATTCAAAATATGAAATCATAGAAAGCATGATAGGACCCACAGTGCTGATCAGCATTGGGCACATCATTTTTGATCTCACACTCCAACCCCTGACAGTGCATCTCTTTGTTATTATCCATGGATAGCCTGGCTCTGGTAAAGATGGGAGAAGAAAAAATAAAGGTTTAATAGGCACAAACCATGCCCCCCCTCCCCCCAATAGAGTACAATGACACTTTCCATTGATGTGATACATGGATGTGGCTGAACCATCAAATGGGATGGGCCCCCAAACCCCCCCATGGATTTGGGATAGGATTTTTTTTGCCCTTTTTCTTTTTCATTTACAGCTTCACTTTACTATTATTGTTAATCACAATCTTAATTAAGTTTTGAGATAACATTTATCATGGGCAGTTTATTTTTATTTTCTTAATGAATAAAAGAAAGAGCATCTCAATCATTTCAATAGCCAATTAAATCAATGTCACTCATATAACTAAATAACACCTTAACTCAACTAAATTAATACCCAAATCCATAATTAAAAGTTTTGGAGTTGGTTCATATTGCTTTCAAAATCAAAAGCATGTTTCTTGCTTCTTCTTTTTCAATTGTTTATTTAGGGTTTATTTTTAGTTGAACAACTTGTTTCAAGGCTTTTTCATGATGGATATAAAGGTGCCAGAAGGGGGAGAAAAAAGAATGAAAAATAAATGATTTAGATGTGATGAAATTAAGGGTTCACCAAAATTAGCAATTGATGTCTATAGGCAGAAATATCATCCTAGGTATTTGATGATTAAATACTGGTTTGATTAGTATAGTTTATATATTTGTGTGTATATATATATATATATAGAGTAGCAAAATGAAAATTGATCACTTTGTTTTGCAATGTCCTAAAGGACCCAGACCAAGCAGAATCTAATGAAAAAACAAAGAATAAAAAAAATGAAAAGAGAAAGGGGAAAAAAGAAAGGCTGCTATGTCAAGTGAGGGTATGGTTTGTGCCACGAAAGAAGAATATTAAAGGTGAGAACCCATGATTTAATCACCTGAAGGAGATCTTATGCACAGATAAGAAGATCCATTGCCCCCGATTAAACAATGCATAAGAATATATATACTTTCATGCCTTCTTGTTTGGAGTGGAGGGAACAATAGCCACGCCCAATCAAAGTTTATCTCCCTGCTCTCTCTCTCTCCCATTGCCCCATTGGGTCTACCCTTTTGGTAGCACTGAACCAACTCTCCCTATACAATATGCGATGTAAAGCAAGGATTCCCTCTCCCTCCCCACGTCTCATCTGTTCCTATATCATCATCACATTCATATTCTCTTTTTTATTTCTTTGTTTTTATAGTAGCTGCTCACTTGGTTATTTCATGAACCAAGTTTTCACTTCTTTAACTGAAATAAGTCATGTATTTTACCTGTTTATTTGCATAATAATTAACATTTACATAAATTAAGATAACCCTTTAATTTTATTAAATTGTTTTAATGTGTCAATTAAATACATCTGAACATTCGCATATATTAATTTCGTTCATTGATAAATATATATTTAAAAAATTGATTTCGAATTTTCATTCATTGTAAAAAAGAATATAGGTTGCATAAATCAATATTTATTTTATATACTTAATTGGATCCATGATTTGAAAGTATTTAGGATGAGATCAATTAGCATTGATTCATGTATACATATATTGATCATCAAACTATCTTACAACCTTATTGGCTGCTTACTCTCATTAGCACTGTCATTATATTGAACCCTTTTTACAACTTTATCTTTATTTATTTTTCCTAAGATAATAGTATCAATCATCAAATGATGCCTCCAAAGATGGCATAAGAGTGGTTGTTGTGGATTGACCACTTAACCGAAAGTCTCCCAAGTTTATTTTTTTTTCTTTTCTTTTCTACTTCTTTTTTTTTCTTTTTAAAATACAAAACTGAGAGGGGTGGTAGCTTACCCACGAAGGAAAAATGGATGATTTTGTGTAACGCACCACCACATAAAAGTTCACTGTATATTGGGGCTGCATATACACTTCCTAGTGGACCTTCCATTTTATATGGATGTGGCGAGTTGACGATGATGATCTCCATATTTCTTCTTCATTTTCCTCTATAAAAACTTCCTCAACTTTGACTACCCAATGCTTGAAAAACTCCAATTCGAACAGTACTTTGTTAGGAAAATCTCTGCAAGTCAAATTGTTGTTTTTGTCTAGTTGTTGCTAGCTGTTAGCATATGATAACCAATTGTTAATGGAAAAAAGAAAAAGCATTAGAGGAGGGGACTCAAAGTCAGATGTGCTCTAGAAATGACCACATTTAAACAAATTTCCATGTTTTCTGCCACTAAAACTTTTTTAATCACCCCCCACAAAATGTTCATTACCCCATCTCATGCACGAAAATGAAACACGTTAGGGCTAACATTGACTGACATTGGGATCTTTTTATTTGTTTTGCAGAATTTTTATCCCTTTCCCCCCTCCAAAGCAAGAGAGAGAGGAAAAAGGAAGAATTCCTTTTTGGAGCGGCCATAAATAAACATATGATACATGAGTTTTGGTGGGGGAGCGTGGGACATGAGACCATGGAGCCATTTGGTTGTGGATTCTCCAACAAAACATCCACGCTTAGAAAGCTTAAAACAATACCCCTCCCTCTCCACCACTCCAGGCCGCACTAAAGAAACAAAGAAACTCCTGTTTTTTTTTTTCTTCTTTTTTTGCTTTTATAAATCATTCACAAACCAATACAAAGGGAGATGATTAAAAGGAAGGGGGATGAGGAATCCATACTTCCTCTCCTCTCTCTCTCTCTCTCTCTCTCTCTCACACACACACACACACACACACACATATTTTTATGCTGCATTCCACCCACTTTCTTAGACTTTTATCCCACTCTCCTTTATATTTTACCAAAAAGAAATGACCCCATTACAAAGTGTCAACCCCTCTCCCCCCTGGCTAATCCTATTTTTTAAAGGGATGTTTGTTTCATTAATATTCTTGATTGGGAAGCTGAGTAGGGGGAGATTAATTAGGCCATGGAGGGCTTCCATCATCAAACACGTGCAAATGTGCACGCTTATGGCTTCCATAGCAAAATATTCATGTTTCTCCATTTCAATAATATTTCCCTTTGAAGAATTAAAAAAAAAAAGGGTTTATGTAATTGTGATGAGACATTAATTTTGGTGTTTACATATTTGCTTTTGCACGTTCGTTTCCCTTAGATAGCAAGGAAACAACAACACAAAGAACCCCTTCCCTTCATCATTTTTTCTAGATGTGATGTTAAAGGCACGAATGAAGAACTGAAATGGGGCAAGTTAATTTTGCCAACTGTATAATAAAACTGGTCCTTGACAATACACGTTCAGTCCAATATGTTAGGATCGAAACATGATGCAGTCATTGAGCATATTTTTCCCCCCTAGTAAGTCAACCAAATACAGTTTGATTGAACTAATTTGGAGGGTAATAACTAATTAAAAGGGGCTACAATCATGAGATAATGTGAACCAATAGTGTAAAGCCTTAGTTTAGAGAATTGAAGAACGCATAGTGTTTAACTAATAACTAAATTTCAGGTATTAAAAACCTAAGATATGGAATTTTCTTTCGTGGGTATGTCTTTGAA